TGGTTCCTTCTGGGGGCTTCTTGTCGACGCATATGCTATCGACGAATGCTTCCCTCATAGGTTGGGGGGCAATCATGAGTGGTCGCTTGGCGAAAGGTCTTTTGCAGGACCGTCGACTTTCTTGGCACATAAATCAGCTAGATATTATGTCTGTGCTTCGATCTCTCAAGCACTTCCTGCCAGACCTGAGAGGTCACCATGTGCTTGTCTGCACAGACAACACATCGGTGGTCTCTTTTACATAATCCAAGAAACTTTTCACATCTTAGAGAACACACACTGCCCACAGCGGCTGCGACAACTCCTCTGGGGCTGGACGCTATGATGCAGATGTGGCAGAGGTCACATCTGTATTCATTTCCTCCGATATCTCTGCTCTAAGGAGTTCTGGAGAGAGTTCGTCAGGACAGGGCACATCTTAGCCCCATGTTGGCAGGCCCGGGAACGGTTCTTGGACCTTCCCTCTACCCAGAATTATGGAAACTTTGGGCTTGGCCTCTGAGGGAGCCCAGTTCATAAGTTCAGATTATCCTCAACTACAGAGATCCCTCCATGAGGAACCTCTACACCTTGAAGTGGTTCACTTCCTGGTGTGGAGAGCACCAGCTCGACCTTATCTGCCCTGTGGTTGCAGTGCTGGAGTTCCTGCAGGAGCAATTTTCTGCAGGTATATACCCCTCCACACTAAAGGTGTACGAGGCGGCCTTAGCTGCTTACCACGTCCCTTTAAGTGGTGTATCTTTGGGGAGACACCCTGTAGTACGTTTCCTTCGCGGCACTGTGAGGCGTCTGACCAAGATACTAGGAGTATGGCTGCCTCAAGGTCTATGACTTGGATTTAGGCTCCACTCCGGGCTCTAGGGTGCTTGCTTCTTAGTGTGCGCAGTGACTTCACACAGAACAGGCATTTGCTATTATGCCATAGTGGGTATAGAGTTCGCACAGCATCTCGACGCAGCTCTTGTTCCCTTGAAATTGAACGTCTCAGGTTACGATTGCAACCCTGATTCCCTGAGAGGGAACTACGTCGCCCTGCCATACTCCCTGCATGCCTGTGATCGACTTACTTCGGCCAATCAGAAGTTAGCGCAATCTGTTTCAGGTGTGCTTTATAGTTTCGTGGTCGATGACGTCACCCGCCTATGACGTCTCATCTCTCCATTGGACTGATTATGCATGTGCTTCACAACACAATCACACAGGGGGATTCCAACAGCGTCTCAATCCCTCTCAGGGAACCAGGGTTACAGTCGTAACCTGAGACGTTTCTTTTACTGCCGAACGAGGAGCAGGAAACATAAAAAAAACTCCACTACTCCACTCACATGCTCTGATTCCGTCACAGCATCTGAATTTGGATGAAA